AAAAAAACCAACAAAAACTAGGGGCAAAAACGATGAAAATAATAGGTCCACAAGAAAACAACAAGGGACAACAACAAGTTTAAACCAGTTAATGGTGCACCAAACCTCACTCTAGCCCCACCATATTCCTATAAATGAGACGGTGTAATAAGATGAATCAACGCCAAGTTAATTTCTAACAGTTGTTATGGTTACAAAAACTGAAATAAGTAAAACACATAAATTATCATGTAGAAACATATAAAACTAAATTCAATAACCATAACAAAAGTACTCAATGCCTTAGAGGAAGACAGAGGAACAGAGGAACAAGAAAACAACTTACAAGGGACCGAAGAAGCAAGGCCGAAGACGAACATTTTGGCAATATAGTCCCAAAGCGCTTTAAGAACTGTCCAGCCTGGAGCCTCCCACTTGGTTTGTCAGATGTAATCATAAGAAGAAAGCGTAGCGTTCAAATGTAATTGAGTTGAACAATAAGCATGCGGTGTAACCTCTTTTAATAAATTCTTTAAATAATTTTAGTAATAACAACAGAAAAATACAATGCCCCAAGATCTTACGAAGTTTGTAAATTACATCTCCATAAAAATCAGGCTGGCGTATCCCTTGTCGTAGTCACTATTGAATTTTGAGATAAAATCAAAGTTGCGTTTGTAAAATTTTGTAAAATATTTACGTGATTCATAATAGCAACTGTCCTGTTTGAATTGCTTGCTAGTAATGAAAATACTTCGCTCGTTAAAATCCTTTACGATGCCACAAGCTCTAACGAATCTAATTAACAGAGACACATTTACTCCGTACGTCTCCATCTAAATGTGGATAATTTAATATTCTAAAATAAAAGTCACCTCTTTCATCAAAAATTTCCATGTAAATAAAATTGTTTGTGATAGCCATATGAAGATCCAAAAATTATGTTCTTTAATTTCAAAAACTTGTTTTATTAAGTTATCCCTTCTTAGGATAAATACTAGACACCATTTGATCAAAATAAAAATTATATCAATTAAAAATGTCACCAAGATATCTGGAAAACCTATTTTGACATTTATTTCTACACATAACCTTCAGAATAAAGAGGTATTGGGAATCCTTTGAAGTATATGGAAAATTTAAATAGTTAAAATAATATTATGAGAATTATTAACAGCACACAAATAGTTGAATGCAAACGTCAGCTCCTTTAAAAAGTAAAGATAAAAATTCAATATTCAATAAGACATGGATTGTACAGTAGAAATGTACTGTATTAGTATATATATGACATATGCAATGTATTTTAGCAATGGACAAATTTGGGAAACTCAGAATAACTCAGAAAAACTGTTCTTCAACAGCAATTAAGAGACACCATCGATATGACAAATTCAGACACATTTAGATTTGTTGGAGGAGTACTCCTAAATTTTTGATATTTTTTTATTTTATAAATTCTTTAGGTCAGACGGGTTTCGATTCCATATTTGGCAGACCATTACGTCAAACGAACTGGGAAAAGAGTAAGTCAAACAATTGAATGGCTGGGGGTTTGATGGTCCGCGTTAGGACGGAAAATGATAGCAATGGTCCTCCCCTTACCTGTTCCAGGGTTAATAATTATTAATTAAGGAGGGGTAATGGTTTAAGTTATTCTCACACTTATGACATTCAAAGGTCAATTCGGGATGAAGTATCGTACCTACACAATGTAGTGATGACTGCTTTCAGGTTTATGGTAGACATTCTACCCAGATGAGTGTTTGATAAAGTTGAGTACAAAATCAATGGATCTTTAACGCGAAAGGGTAAATCGATTTGGTCAAAACAAAGTAAGTTTTTCGGGTGCTTAATTCTTTGAATAAATTGTAACGAAAAGATTCTGCCGATAGGGGGTAAAAAAGCTTCGTAAAGAAGTGTCTTTGCAATTCACGTTTTCGAATATATAAGTCGGTTAAGGTAGCATTGCCTTTGGACTAGTCTTCCGCATTACGATTGGAACCCTGATTTGGTAGTCCAAATTATGTTAAATTATGCTCACCTTGTACTTCCTAACAATTATAGGTCTACCAGTAATTTTGTGGAATGGTTAATATGTTATAACTTTTTTATCGGCAATTCCTAGCTAGCTTTGCTTTCTCGCATTGACGTTTAATTTATGCTTCCGAGGGATCAATTCGTTTCCAGATTTTTATACTTTTTATACACAGCAGGTATCAAGTGCTATGTGGTAGCTGTGAAAGGTTGCCCGTACTTCACTTCAGTGTTATTATATTTTGCTGGTCCTTCGGGATCATTGACGCAAGCACTATTAAGTATAGAATGTTGAGTAATGCTTAAGCCTGTGCTAGGGGGCATTAGGGATGTTGCACATATTTATTATCCCTCATGTACAGACTCAACCAAACGGAGTCTGAATTCTGTTGTTATTTTGTTGTGAATAAAGCTTCCGAGGGAAGATTTTTTGCCTTGAATTACTAATGCATTGTCCCAATCAATGGTGGAGTGTTTCATTGTAGTGATGATTCTGATTAAATGTTACCAGTGGTATAAATTTGAAGGTTCAGTAATTATTGGAAGTAAAAATACAATTGAAAGTTAAAAAATAATTCAATTGTACAACTTATTATTTGTGTACAGTTTGTTGGTTAATTTTTTGTTCGTAGAAATTCCTGCCTCCTTTCGTTCGTACGATTGTTTACAAGACTAGACATGGTTAAATATGTCTCGTTTTGAGCGACCAATTTATCTACCCAATTTTTTGTAATTTAAAGTGTATAGTTTTCATATTTGTTTAAATGATGCAGTTTCTTAGTACATAGACTTATTTAATGACTTATTTAATGAATTATTACCAATTTGATGCTGTGTATGTCACTCTTTTTTCGCTTAACGTAAACACATATTGCATTTCTCCTTAAAACTATTATAAAAGGCAAGTTTTTGATATTTCTTAATTTTGTTTTACTTCCGGCCTACCTTTTTGTTACAAACACATAATTTGTTGTTGTAAAAATTTAACCATCAGTCTAAATGGTCACGCAATGATTGCCTGTCTGTTTGTACGAACCCTAACACTCTCCCTTTTTTCCAATACTGGATTGAAGTTTTAATTGGCAAATTACAAAGAAGTTTTTTTTTCAATAATTTATGGTCAATAAAAATTACTTATAGAAATTATTAAATTAAATTCTGATTATTATTCAAGTCAAATAGTTATTTCAATCCTTTGATTTCTTTAAAAAATAATCATAACATAACTGTAACAATTTTATGTTGAACTTAACTGTTAATACAACTACACCATGGAAAACTTTTATGTTTGGTATATCAATTTCTGCAGAATGCTTCTTGTTCTTATTCAAAGAAAATATCCCATAGAATTATCATCATAACATTTATAAAGTCTTAAATAGTAAATAAGTTTTTCCATTTATTGTTTAATCATTGCTTAAGAATAAATGTACAACAAAATGTAAGTTTAAAAAGTTTAAAAAGAAAGAATCAAATTGATTTCGTTATGATAATATTTTGCCTAAAATTATATAAAATTGTATTTTATTTAACAAAATTTAATTATCATATTTTGTTGTTTCATGCAAACATGAATTTAACACTATCTTCAATGAAGTTGAAACAATAGTTCAAAAAGGGAAAAATGTATTGCGTCAAGCAGACAAAATTATGAATTCGTGAATTTGAAATCATAAAGTTCAAAATATGAATTCGTGAACTTGAATTCATGAAAAAGTTAGCGAACATGAATTCTTTAAGTTAAAATGTGAATAGCTCAATATTTTGTACTCGGCCATTCAGAAAGTTGAAATAGTGACCTCGAAAATTCAATTAAGAAAGATAAAATGTCTTAACAGTTTTTTTATAGTTCTATTCTAAATTTATTAAGATGGTATGAAAAATAACAAAGTCTGAATTAAAATAACATACCTTTTTACGATAAATAAGGTTATACAAAATTTTCTTTCACACGCAGAAGCGAGCAAAGATGTATTATATAGTACGTTATAAATATTTTCAGAATTCCTTGATTTTACTTTTAATTTATCTAACTATTCATCTTTTCATGGAATTTCTCCAGTGTACAGCTGATACATAAAAGGAAATATTTTGCTCTATACTCAACCTGGATGCTACAACAAAAAATAATATATGTACTCTAGTCTTCTTATCCAGGACAAATATTACATGGTTGGCAGAAGTAGTTATGTCACATGTGCAGGTGACGGATTTTAAAAATTCACTTATCTTTGATATATGTTCTTTTTTCAGTGACAAATCTACAAATTTTGATTATCTTATACGTAAAGTGTTATCAAAATGAAACAAAAGTTGTCAGTGAGACAGTGCGCTTAAGTTTGATAGTGAAACAAGAGATTTCACATAGAAACATACTTGATTGAATACATGGCGTAACACATGAAGATTGAATATTGAAGGAAGGATTTGTAGTTTCATATTCCATATTTCACTTAAAACACATGCCAAGTAATGGGCCTTTGAAAATAATCGTCCTTCAATTTTTATTAAAATAAAAATAAGTTTCAAATGAATACCATCAGTACAGTACTTCTTAAATCCAAAACAAAATGACACTTTTGGCAAGTGCCAACAAACCAATTTCCAGAAGACATGTATTAAATGCACATTATGCCTTAAAAATGATTTTTTAGATAGGGCAACCATTAGTTGTCCATTAGTTGTATAATGCTTAAATAATGATTTTAGAGCATTTTAGCTGCTCGTCACTTGAAACAACTGCATCTGAATGAGAAATGGTTTGTTATAAAAATAGCAAAATGTAAACAAAATTGTCTTTTGACTTCCATACAAGAAACAAAATACATATAATACGACTAATTGAAAGGAAAGGAGCAGAAGACAAATTGTGTGCAGATACCTGGCCAATGAGTACCTATTTTGGAATTATAACAGTACAGCAACTTTTAATGTTACCAAGAAATAAAAATAGAAGTACTTCTGATGCATAATGTGTCAGAAAGACATTTTCATTTTAAAGAAATAAATATGATATTCATTTATCATTATGTATAAATGTAACGTTATTAAATATCTTACAATTTTGACTTTTTGTCAATAATCAATAATATGATTTCTTTAAACTAAGTAATATATTAAGTCAATTTGAATGTTCGAATATGTCCTTTTCTAATATGTCTGTTATCTTTTATCTTACTAACACGGTAAATAGACAGTTGTCTAAGTATAATACAAAAATAGATTACATAACTGGACATGGAAATATTCACATTCATACCGACCACTCTATAAATGGATAACACATCAAATATTTTAACTATAGGTGAAATATTTTTCATCAAAAACAGATCCATTGACAGATACTTTTTACTTATTAGATTTTGACTGTTCGATTGGTATCAGGTCTTATTTATTATCACATTGTAAACTTGATTTAAAAGTAAAAATAGAACCAATTGGTACATGAGAAATTGACATTACAAAATAGATAGCGAAAATAAAAAGCGATACGTAATGCTTTTACTAAATAAAAAAGGAAATCATATGCACAAACGAAATCGGAGTGTCTTATATACTTATGCTCTTTTCGAAAGCAAGCTGTTAATAATGTTACTCATTTCTATATACATGCTTTAATGATTGTAATATTCTGTCAAATTCTTAAATATGTTTTGTAAATCGACTCTTTTGCATAATCAGGAACATTAATTACCTAAGCAGAAATACTTTCATAGTTCATTTTTTTACATTGATGTGACTGTGTGTGCATGATCTTAAAGTTAAACATATCCTGAATTTCATAATGTAAACAATATTTTTATTATCAGTGTAAAAATATATATGAAATGGGTTGCTCTTTGCAAAACTATAGGACAAAACTTTTTTGCGACAGCAAGTTCGAAAACTAACAATTATTGTTTTGTAAACGCAAAGCTAATAAATCCTGCATCAGCTGAACGTGGATCAATGAAAACGGCTCTTCTCTGTCTAACTAGTGTCCTTCCCACTTCATATGTGGCGTTTTGAACCTTTCTGTTATTTGCAAGAATCTAGAGGAAACAAAAAAAGTGATTGAATTGGCATTCTACAAGAACGTTAATGGTTAACTGATTTTAGCTTTGCATCGCTTATGTTTAACTGCTGTTATCATGTAAGTGTGATCTCGGACCAAGAGTGAAGTAGATTTATCCCTCTGTATAATATTGACAATAGATCATTTATTAACCTAATGAAGAAATTGCTAAAAGTAATATGCAATGAAGTCCAGATAATACGCTTTTATCTTCGACCAACAGTGGCCAAACAGTAACATTTTCTAGCAAGGGCAATCCCAAACACTAATGAGCAGTTTTAATTCTCTGGAGTAACTTTTAGCAAATTAGATTTATTTAATACATTTATATAGGGAGATAATTTTCAGTAAAAATATCTTAAGATATAAAATAAAAATAAAATTAGATTCCAACATTCAATGAACTTTTACAAATAAAGAAGGGAATTTCATGTAATATGGAAAACTAGAAAGATCTGTCAAGTTTTCGCTAAACAGTTGCAGGAGAACTAGGAATGCTTGATATTCTTGACGATTGTCAGCTTTAGCAAATTACTTTTTTTTGCAACTCTATCCATTACAGGAAAATGGCGTCAATATGTTGAATGTATATATTAATTTTGAACAAATAAGTATTAAAATTATGATTAAACCAAATATTTAGAGTGTTAGAAGATCTTCTAGCGACTAAAGGTAGTTATAAAACAACAATGACTTATAAAACACGTTGTTTATGTGATAAAATCTACTAACCTCCATCTGTTTGTCGTTTAGAACAAGTGAAATTTTGCATTCATCCATTGGACACATGATTTGCCAATCGAAAGGAACAGTAAATCCGCCACGGACAGGGTACTGTAAAATTAATCTCGTCTCACTTTCTTGTACGCTGAAGAATCAGTTAAGTGATATTTAATGAAAATCAAAATTCATAAGAAGCGCTTACTCATAAATTGGCAGTAGTATTATTTGATAAATCTGTTCTTGTGTTTCATATACATTTACATAGTAGCGAATTAGGTTCGACAAAATGTAAAACGTGATTTTCATATCTTTTTCATAATTGAACCAGATGAGTGAAATATATATATATAATCTTCTGACTTTTGTAGAGGAAATATACAATCAGCAATTACTCTTAAAATCAAATGATGTGAAACTTCTAGGTAGTTTGAAGCTAGTTGTACTGGCTTTAGCCCAGCGTATAACATACATATGGAGGCTATTCGATGCCAAAAATCCAGCCTTGTTGATCTTAGTTGAACAGTTTGTTAATGGAAAATATACAATTGTATTTCTTTGTATGTAAACTCCAACGTTGCATACTTGGATTGAGTTTGCCGATTTAACATTGTAAACATGCATTTCAACAAAATACATTTTGTTAAACGACAAAACATTAACTGATAGTAGCAATACCAATACTCGAATACTCAAAACAGAAGTTACATTCTTAGCTTTACATTGTCGAACCATCATGATTCAGATCAGCATAATCCAGCTTTACACGTTTTTCAATAGGAGATAAAATAAGCTCCGCCCATTTTCCCGCCCACTAAATCATCGTAAATAAATGTCATTTCCGCTCATTTTCGGTATTTACCGTCGGCGACAAGAAGCGGCGTAGTTTCCGTTTATCATACCTTTAAGGTATTTAGTTACTAAACATAATTCACTTACATGATTGCCTACAATCAGTATCAACGGACTTTAAAGGAATATAGGCATATAGGTTTTAAAACGTTGTAGACACCACATTTCCTGGAAAAAGAAACTTACCCCCCCCCCCAAAAAAAAAAAAAACAAACAAAAAAACACCAGGTTACATACTGTCTGAGGTTAAATATTTTTCAAGGAAGTGAAAACGATTGAAAAGACTATATTCAACGACAAATAAATTTTACTGACGGTATTCCAAGATGCATAGGAATGAGTAACATTTACAGTTAAGCTGCTACCTTACCACTTTCAAATTTTCAAGTCAACATCTGATAAAGATTTTGATACGAGTAATTACTAATACAGACCAAATTCTGGCTGTTGTCTTTCCTAGTAGTACTATTATATTAGTTACCTTAATTCTAGCGTATGACTTGACTCGAATTAAAAATCTTTAACAATAGTAAAATTATAACCAAAGTTGTATGTACCCTTTCGTACATAACTTTTTATTTTTACCATATATTTTTCCATTTTTCCCATTTTGTTTTTCAATAAGTAAAATTCAAATGAGTCCAAATGTATGTGTGTTGATTATAGTCCAAATGTATGTGTGTTGATTATCTATTTATGTATACCTTGTTTATTTTATCTCTTAGAAAGCCATCACTTACAAAACTCAATAGATATTCTGTGTAGTATTTCATGTCCATAAAGGAAGTTCTCTGTTTTTGATCATATAGACAGCAAATCTAGACAGCAAATTTAGGTATCAGCTAATGACAGCATTTATACACATATTTTAGAGCTGTCATTGATCCAGCACAATGCATAAAAAGACCTTAACCTACGCCAGCTTACATATATTTAACAATAAAAGCCTAAATCCAGCCTATGACTCAAAATAACTCCCTATGGAGGTAAACAGAGTTGCCAGGATACACTGAATATTTATTTCAACATTAAAATGGGACAAATTCACAAGTTTTGGTTATACAACGGAATTATCGATAGTAAACTTTGCATTGTTTCGTGGTTATACACTTGGTCAAAAATATGAGTTTTTCTATAACGCAACATAGTCCTTTAAAGAAAGAAGGCACAGACTTATTGTTCAGTTCTCTTTATTCGTGTTGCCAAAAGTGCCTTCCATGTATCGCATTCTAGTACTATTTGCTGAAGGTAAAAAGAAAAACCTTTGCTTAAGAGTATTGCCGTGGCTCACGAAACCCTATCATTGATATCAATGATTAGTGGGGTGTGTCACTATATATGGGAAACATTTCCTTATGTTATTTCACCAACTTTAGTTTTGGCATATTATTATGCTCATTATCAGTATATATGTTGTTACATTTTTACATTATATCTTAACCAATTTAGCATTACTTGAATATCCTGTACTAGAATACGTTTTAACAAAATCAGAGGATGTTCAAAGTCAAGATTGATGTAACAGTTTCTATATAATTTGAAATATTTTTGTACCAGCAAGAGTTACCTCTCTTTATATTCTGCTTTCGTGAAATATGCTCCGCCTATTAATTTTCGTCTATTTCCGTGATAATTCCATATATGGAAGTTGCAAAATCGTTTACAAATGTTAATCGCGTTAGAATGTAAAAGGAAAGTGTGGTGTTGTAAACCTGAGTGTGTCAAGTTGATGCAGTTACATTCTCAACGTCATGATGAACAGCATAAAACGTATTGTGTACGTTCTATCGTTTACATTTCTACATGTTGAAGTTATACATTTATAAATACAGTTTGCAATTTATCTAAGTTGCATGTTAACAGCTTTCATTTCATCAAATCGAGATAATCAAAATGCTTAATACCAGTGCAGTATGTAACTCTCGGATCGACAATTAGATTTTTTCTTATCTGTTTAGTAGAACCGAAGTATGCATTGTCAAGTTTCAAAGGCTGGATTTTTGGCAACGAATAGCCTCTATACATACACATGCATGCGAGGATATCACAGTGTGCTTTAACAACATTACATATGTTAGACAGATCAAAAATATAAAAATGATATTACCTAACTCGGAGCGGAAATCCATCATCAGACTTCTTGTCATTTTCCATGAAGAAATTGCTTAAAAACAAATTTAAATTATCTGTTTTGAGAACATATTTAAAGACCGGTTTGCAAATTCTAAGATAAGTTAACTTCTGGACTGTGTTAAGATGAAAACCTGCATAATATCATGAGTTTATTTCATTTTATGATGGTTTGTTATACTTGAAAATATAAATACACGGTAAAGAGTTAGATTCAGCATGAATAAAACATAAACTTTGTGTTAACTATCAAAGTTATGGCATTTAAATGCGAAGAAAAAACTTTTATAAGTATGAAAGTTAAATCACCCTACACGTGTAACTATAACTCTTTGGCAGTCTATGTAAAAGACTTTACGTGCACACATAAATAAGTAAGATATTATAATTAACACCTACGAAATGCATCTACTACATAATCTTTTCCGTAAATAATTGAACCAAACGAACGTCAAAAGAATATTTAATCAAATAAGTTAATTCATTTTTTTTTTGTATTGTTTACAAATCGTGTCCTGGTACCACACTTGTTGTTAGTGTATATATGCGGGTAAACTACAATGACGTACTCATAACTAACTTGCTTAATTAAAGTAAATTAATCGTTTATGTATCGTTATTTTATATCAGTACATTGTAATCATTCATTGATCTTACTATTCTGAAGGTGGCTTTCGGACAAATTTGAAGTCCAATCTAGACCACATCGTGCGAGGTAAGGAAAGAAGATGTAAGTTTCTGAAAAATGGGTCTATCATTTCTGATGTAATCTTAAAAAGAAACAACAGAAACACATAATAAATTATTCTAAACAATACATCTAGTCACAGCTATATTGTTTTTCTTCATTACACATCTGTCATATTTGCTGACAATAATGAACACAATGGTGATACTCAAAATATTCTACATAAATCTAAATATTTATTGTAAAACTTGAATATGCTGATGACAAGGTCTCAAAGTCAACAATGATTTAAAAAAATATTGTATTTTGAACACAAAAGTCAAAACCTCAGAATAACCATCAAGATTAATAAAGAAAAAATAACAGACACCACAAAAAGCAATTTTTCCTTTCCGCTGCAGCATAAAAACAGTATTTCGAAAACAGTATATTCCGGATATTGTATAACGATGAATAAAATATTATTTTAAAAGTGTGATTTTATAAACGAAAAGAACTAGACTGACAATATGCAGTAATAAATAACGAACAAAAGTGTATAACATTTACACATGTTAGGAAATGTATGAATTTACGTCTGTAGAGATATTTCAATAACTTTTAAGAAAGATTTTCCTTTTATATGAGTGAATAAATAATTAAAAATATACCGGTGGTTGGGATTTTATTTTAAAATACACCTTTTCCACGTATCTATATCCTGATTCCAAAGCATGAGTTTCGTCCGTAAGGTTTTCGCATTTTCCTGTATGATCAGAGAGGCGGGCACCAACAACAGTGTTCTAAAATTGTTGAAAAATAATTAAAAGACAATATACAAAACAACATTTTTTAAGACTCAGACATATGTGTCACTTTTACATTATCTTCCACCAACAAACTCAATTAAACAGAGTCGAGTCTATAATTGTCATATAAAAGTTTTGTTCAAGTGCTTCCGAGGGACAACCCTATTCCATTTTTTTTTAATTCAATAGCACTTGACAGTATCCTTCGCTTAAGATTAACAAAGTTATTAAACTGTCTGTATGAATTGCTAAACAAATTTTATACATAGGTTTCTGCCGATCCAAACAATAAGTTTTGATCATTAATCTATATTATTCAACTTGTATTCTGTCATTTTTATCACAACAAATATACAAGTAATATGTAAAGATTAAAAGGACACTAAGCACATGACTTTGTTTCTATACACAATTAAAAATAATCCTAGTGCACAGATGTTGACCAAAACGAATTTTATACGATCTCCAGCTTCTATACGAATTATCTATCACCGGTCAATATATATTATATGTGTATATATATATACACTTAACAAATCTTATAAGCATGCACCTTTTATGTCCTTATTACTTTTTTGTTTATCAATATATTTTTACAAAATTTTGTGTTCTGACTATTGGCTGCATTTCCACTCATTTTATGTGCTCAAGCATGTCAATTTTAATTATGAGGTGCGTTCATCCATGAACGAACGAAATTCACACAATGCACGAAGTAACTGTGAGAATTGGTGAAATAAAATTGCACATGATATTCTCAGATACGATAGAGATTGACATATCAGAAAAACACCACATGGGTAGATTAGCTATACAACAGCGTGATATAGCCCTAAGATTGGTCAACGCTGGTATACACCAAACAGAGGTTGGTAACATAATTTATTTGTTTAAATAATTATTTTAATTCCTTTGCATTGTGAAAGCCGAAATTCAGTTTTCATCAAAGACGAACATAAAATGCATATTTTTATTTAGTTATTACTTTTCTGTATCATTTGTAGGTTGCGCCTGGAATAGGTGTACACCAAACTACCTAAGAAGGCTTATCATTAAGTACAGGACGACTTCTTTGGTAACCTTCCTCACCAACCCCAAAATTATCTACAACGGTATGTAACATCGATGTGACGACGCTGCCGGGCTGTTATACACAGTCAGGGTGGGCACACACGGTATAAGGACATCATTTTGCAACATCGACTTTCGACACGCATTCACATATTTTAGAAATTTAATCTTAAATTTGTATCCTGAATGAAACATATGTGTCTTTTCTGTATTTATTGAAAATCGGGTAAATATTGATACACCTATGAAACCATTTATACATGAACACTTATAAGATTTGTTAAGTGTACTTACAAATTAGTGTTTTAGGAAAGTTGTCGGAGATCTTAGTAATTTGCTTTTTAGATAGATAAGAAGAAATGTTTGTTTTCTGTTGTTATTTGTGTGTGTATTTGTGTTGTTGTTGCTGTTGTTGTTGTTTTTCAAGGATACTATCTGTAAATATTCGAAGTGATGAGTGAAAAGCTTATACATTTTGTATTATTTTTATTTAGTTATTTATTGACACAACAAAGAATGTTTTATGATATGCATGCTCCTTATTCTGCCAGTATTTACCGACAAAATTATGTATTGAATTCAAAAATACTAATAACAGTGTTAGAAGTAAATATTCCCGGGCTACGGCTAATATACGGATATGATACCGGACTTGAAGCGATTATTATGTTGGCACAGGACAAGATACGAATATTTTTATAGAAATTTAATTAAACGTGTCTTACTAGGGGCTGTTGACTATTTTTATTTACAAAAACTAAAATATGAAAGTCTTGGCAAAATTTCTTCTGTTTTCATACTATAAACAAAAGTGCATTCATAGAATGCAATAAGCCCATGAGTCAAGTTTATTATATGTGAAAAAGTAATCGGGTGTCATATATTACACTGAGGCGGTTCTATTAAACCATCAATGTAATGAGGTCCTACGAGAGTCAAGTTTTTTTTTCAAAATTATTCCTACTCCGGACCTATCTTTTGCTTTTGTTTTATTATTCCATGATTTTGAACATTTCTGCAGAAACTAACGAAACAAATATTTTTTCAATGTGTGATATGTTTACAATGATGACAGTGTTATAATATTGCGCTGTTATAACCATTCTTTTTGCAGCTGTTTAACCATGGTTGTTGATTTTAAACTATGCGGTAAGGTTATTATTCATTGTTGAGTACAATACTTAACTCCAACGCACGAGTACACTACCAAGCTAGTGCATATCGCTAAAAACAGGTGTCAACAAAGGTAAAGGGTTGTCATTTTATATTATTTTGAAGTTCAAACCGAATATCTAAAATTCGAAAAAAAGCTTTACCGTACAGATTTTGAGTTTTCAAGAAACGTAAACTTGATAAATTTGTGTTTAAATTGAAGTTGCAGCTGAGTTCCATGTTACCGAATTTAGTGTTGCAATTGACCGTTTCATAATGAAATTATTTTCCTCCAATTTTAATCTAAACAGCGATTTGGATAACAAACAAAAACTTATCAAATTGATAAAAGGTATAGAAATCAGATAAAATTGAAAGTAGAACAAAACATTAGTTATTGAAGACAATATAAGACATTTGTTCTTCAAAACAGCTCTGTTTTGAAGGAGGTAGTCATTTTGCCAAGGATATAGCTCTATGATTTTAAACGAACCCAAAATGATATGGACAAAGAATGTGAAATCTTTTGGTAAAGAAGATAAAAAAGGAGAAGAGAGGATACAATACCGGTATTTTCCACGCGACCAAAAAGAGTAAATTTTTGTTGCCACATATCCTTTAATTTAGCAACTAAGCGTGCTGTCGCCCGTCTATCCCAACAATACCACTCTTTATTTTTCCTCATTATTATGAGTAGTCGCAGTTGAAAGAAGATCATGTTCACATTATAAAGACAAAAAATAGAACTACATGTATAAATAGAAAACAAAGAGAGCGACAAAGCGAGAAACATACATCTCGCATTTTTTTTATGTTGTCGTTAATTTTTATTTGGGGCCCTTCAACCGCGACAACACGAAATAACAAAAAAAATGAAAGCGCGCATACAATAATTTTTATGCAACGAAAAAATTAAATTTGGCTTTTATCGTACTGTCGCCTCTTCATATCATCTATGCCACTCTCTGATATTAAAACGGCAAAAGAGAAAAGAATTAAACTAAAATGAGCGACAAAACGATAAATGTATATGTTTCTTGTTATGTCGCTCTTTCTCGTTGTTAATCTCTCTGGTGCAAAAAAATATAACAAAATAGCAGAAATTAGATACAATACTAAATGAAATTTTAAATTTAGAAGTTAAATATAAAATATAACACTACTGCCGGATACAAAATTAAAAAAAAAACTGATTTGAAATTTATATCTATATAAATAATAATAAACAGCTTTAAGACTACGAACAAAACAATGTTGTATAAAATATTCATTTTCAATATTTCATTATGTTGCGATTGAAGAGGCAGGAACAACGCGAAAGATTGACAA